CTGCCGGCCTAGAGAGGCGGCCACCACTGCTTGGGGGCATATGGAGGCTCCGAAGGACTCCAGGATGCCCTGGAGACGTGTCTCTTGGGACCTGTGGTGGGAGGTGGCCTGGCTGCCCCCTTCAACTGACCCAGAAAAGAAAAAAAACCAAATCAGTACACTGGGGGAGTCCAAAAGACCCTTGCTACCTCACCATCCAACAGTGACTTAGGGCTGGTGACAGGACAGGTGTAGGAGCACAAGGGTGGGAGAAACGGGGTTCCTCTCTGGACAATCTCTCCACTACAGCACCCCCGCTGTTCAGACAGGCAAACTCACTTAGAATGAGCCAGGGACCTGCTCAGACCCCAGCTCCACACCCAGAGTGGAATCTCCCCTCTGGTCCCCAGAGAGGCGCCTCTCCATCTTCACAGACCCCAGACGTCACTGCCTCCATATGTGGGTAACACCTAGTGGCTGCTCAGGGAAGGATGGTGGCCCCAGGAGGAAATGCAGACCCCACCCCAAGTCAGCCCTGGCTGCATATCCTGTCTTGTGCTCACAAGTGGGGCAGAGCCTCTAGGTCCCCGTGGACAGGGATGGGGACTGCGCAGGAGACAGAGCGCGAAGAACAGGGAGGAGGGTGCCTGGCATCGGAGGCCCTGCAAGGGGCCTGGAGCTGCCCACACGGGATCCCCACCACACCACTAGGGCCAGCCTGCTTTCTCTCACTCTCTCCACAACAGGAGAGTGTCCACAGTGCCACGGCTCCACGGGACCCCCACAGTGACCCTCAGAAGGCAGAACTCCACGAGCCCTTTCCACAGATGAAACACTGAACCCCAGCATAGGTCACGGGCTAGAAAGTGGCAGAGCCGGAATCCAAGTGCATCCTCACCGCCTGTACCCAGGTGCCCACCCCCCACTCCCCTGCCCTTCCCCAAGGGAAGACCGCCCTCAATACTCAAGCCTAGGCCAGCCAGCAAGACCCACCTTCCCCTAACCCCCAACCCAAACTCCCAGCTTGGAGAGCATTGGGGGGGGGTACCCCGAGGGGGACGAGGGAGAGGGTAACAGTGTAAGGGTGATGACTGTGCCCGGGGCCTCAGAGTCCCCTAGCCATCCCCTCACCCCCAGCTGGGCACTGAGAAGTGACAAGTGTCACTGAACCCTCCCCCCAACCCTGCCCCCTAACGCGGTGAGGAGACCTGACTCCCTCGAGGGGCCCCTCTCAAATCCGCCCCCCACTCCCGCATCCAGACTCAGGCCTCGACCGGCACTCTCAGCCCCGCCCTCCACCTTATTAAAACTCATAAGAAAAAAAAAAAACGTGGGGCGCCCCCCACCCCGGCCCCGCGCCAGACGCTCTGCTGCCCTCTGGGGTGAATCGTCGCTGCCACCCCGGAGGCAGCGACGCGGCTCCTCCTCCCTCTATACAGATAGGGAAACTGAGGCAGGAGAAGGGAAGACAGAACCATCTCAGAGCTGCGTGCTCCAACCATGGCATCCACTCCCCAGACACGAACGCGACAGGAAATAAAAGGGAAACGGAGCCGAGGGGGGAGGGGACGGTCCGGGAGCCCCGATTCCGCCCACGGACCCCGTCGCGCCGCGCGCCCCGCGAGCGCCTGCAGCCACCACCGTCTCGCCCGCCAACCGCGCACCGCCCGACCGCGTGGCCGCCACGCCCCCTGCGCGCGCCCCACCCACCGAGGCCCCGCCCTCCCGGCCGGCGCGGCGGCGGCCCGGGCGCGCCCCCCTCCCCGCCCCCCACGCGCCACGCAGTTTTGGGGTACTGGAGGGGGAAGGGGCGCAGGAGACCGTGCGCGCGGGCCAGGAGAACGGGGCTCACCTGTGTGCGTCCGCAGGTGCGACTTGAGGTGTGAGGACTTGTAGTACGCCTTGGCGCAACCTGGGAAGGGACAGCGGTGGCTCTTGGCGGCGGCGGGCGCGGCGCCGGGGGCGCGGCCAGAGGACGGGGACGAGGTGGCCGAGGAGGAGGAGGCGGGCGAGGCGCCCCCCGGGGCGGCGCCGGGCCCGCTGCGCAGGTCGGCCAGGATGCTGGCGGCCAGCAGGTGGGGCGCGGCGGC